AAAAATCACCTTTAAGAAACAGACCTGGCACAGATATCTGTCCAAATTTAGGGAGGCTCTCAGGTTGGGAGTTGGACTTCCGAATGTGTATCCCAGAAAAGCCAACCTATGTTGCCTTGTGCAAGCTGCACAGTCCTAGGGCATGCTCAGAATTACTTATTTATTTACATTTTAACTCTGCCCATCTATTAGCAAAGCAACTACTCTGGGCAGCTTACAACCGAAATAGGAAAAGGAATGGTAAACCACTTCTGTGTATTTTCTACGTGGAGAACCCTGAAAAGGGAGCCAGAGGCTGGGAATTAAATTCTCCCCTGTCCCTCCTGAGGGAAGAGCCAGCCTGTGTGGCCTTGAGCCAGCTGCCCATCCCCAGGGTGGCACCAGAAGAAAGGAAGAATAAACCATTTCTGTGTATTCTTTACCTAGAAAACACTGGAAAGGATGGCCATAAGTCAGAATTCATTTGATGGCACATTATTATTCAAAAACACCAGGCACAGTCAATCAAAAATTTTAAAACATTTACTGTTATTATATAACAAATACAAGTTTTAACCAAAAAACCTAAGTCTCTGTTAAATATCGGCACAGTATGTATACTATTCCTAATATTCCTGTTTTCTGTAGTTCTGATGGTGTTATTTCTGAGATCTGCAACTGCTTATAATGCTAAGTTAAATTTCTTGATATTGTTCCCAGATCCCCAGTGACTATGGGGACCCCTGAAGTGTGTGTCTCATCCACAATCATCCACAAGTGGCAAGGTTTCAATTGCCAAGTCTCTGTATTTTGTTAGTTTTCCCAATTCTTTATTTTCAGTTCTGGCGTCTCCAAGAATTGCAATCTCAACGATTCAAGACATTTCTTCCTTTTATTACTACTATGTCTTGTGTGTTGTGTTCAAGGTGTCTATCCGTTTGGATCCAGAAATCCCACAGGATCTTGATGTCGTCATTATTTTGACACTTCTACTTGGTATTCCCTTGGGTTTTTGCAAGCTGGCAAGTTATATTTTTTTGCATAACGACCAGTGCAGTAATTTTGCCACTCTGTCGTGTCCAATTTTGTAATCTGTTTCTGCAGTCTTTGGACATTCACAGATGAGGTGTGACAGAGTTTCATCTCTTTCCCTGGCAGAATCAACATTTGTTGTTAACATAAATTCCTTGGATCTTAGCTTTCATCGCATCAGTCCGGAGCGCTTGTCCTTGTACAGCAAAAAGAACAGAAGAAATGGGCTGCCGTCATGGAAAGCAGGGGGCACATAAAAGGTGCTAGTCCTCAAGGGATCACACGACTCTTGGTCACATTTGTTGCTGCCTGCTGCAGAGATTTGAAAAAAAATGAAAAGTCAAATTTCAGTAAAAAAAACAAACAAACCCAAATCTGTTTCTTCCTCACTCCTCGGGGTTAATTTCACCAGATTGGGGAGCTGAAAAAAGGGAGGGAAGGAGTCCAGAAGGAGACAAACGAAACAACTGAAAGGAAATCAGGTCCAAGGAGTCAAACTGAATTTATACTTCTTTATTCAAGAAGGGGGGCTTGTTTACAGCATCTTCCATCATCCCTACATTTCAAGTGAGGGGGAAAAAAACTATAGCTGTCATTTTTCCTCCCCTTTTCGTTTCCTTCCTTTTCTGGTCTGTTTTGTGTGTGGCTTTTAAATGATCTATCAACCTCCCAAAAACCTTGACTTCGCTCTCTGTTACTTCCTGTCCTTTTTTAACCCCTAGTGAGAGCTATCCCATTTGACTTCTGACGACTTACAGGTCACCCTCTAAAACAGGAAGACTGTCCTTACTTTTTGTTTCTTCGTCTCCAGGTGAACTTTTTGTGTTTCTTGGCTTCAGTAAACCTTTGTTATTATTTATTTAACCTAGCACAATCCTAAAATTAAGCTCTCCATCTGCAACTGCTTATAATACTGTATGAAATTTCTTAATATTGTTCCCAAAGCCCTGATGACTATGGGGACCACTGAAGTGTGTTTCATCCACAAACGAGACGTTTCAATTGCCAGATCTCTGTAATTTGTTAGTTTTTTCAATTCTTTACTTTCAACTCTGGCATCCCCTAGAATTGCAATGTCAATGATCCAGACATCTTTTGTTCTATTACTACTATGTCTGGTGTGTTATGTTCAAGATGCCTATCAATTTGAATCCGGAAATCCCACAA